CCTTCCTTGTTCTCATCATCTTGTTTTCGTTCCCTTTACTTGATCGTTTTAAATTACACTTTCTTTTTAAATATTCTACTTCGACGTGAATCGTTTGACTTTCAATTAAATTCTAGATTCGTTTTAGTTACCCGAAACAGTTTTTTATCAACTAGTCCCTTAGTGGACAATCTTGACAGTGACTTCGACCTTCAACTGTTACCTATTATGCTTACCTGATTGTATCGACTCAATATCGTAAATCGTTTTATGCTCGTTTGATGTTAATCAATTGGCTTTGATGCTAAGCCACTCCTCTTTTCAAACGCTCTATAAAAGTCTTTGAATGAGCGTCGGTTGGTATGAAAAACCACTAATGACTTCCGTGACCACAAAGGAACCTTTAGTTTAGTCTTAGTGCGACTAGCAATTTATTTTTTGTGCTAAGATATTATTAGAAATAAAGGAGAGAGTACACAATTTTTTTATTGAAGAAAGGTACCAAATAACAATATATATATTTACTGTTTAAGCTTCGTTACATAATAAAAGGAAGTTAAATCAGTCGATATCAAAATATTAATCTTCACACTGGAAAAACTTAGTCTTGGCATATAAAGTAAAGCCTATCTACTAGATGTGGTATGTAGTATTAACAACATGTGACAACGAATGGTGGGTTCCAGAACCAAATTATTTATTTAATAGAAATCAGCAATAACTTAATGATATTTTAAACGTTTTTTGTATTTTAAGGACTAACTATTTCACCACAATAATTATAATTTACTCCATAACGCAGTATAATTGTATGACATTGAATAACTAGAAATAAATGATATCAATAAAGTTTTCGTTTTGATAGAAATATCTATTCAAGTAATAACAGACATCTTGGTCAGACTATTTCTCTAATATAGCACTTAAAACCATAATTATTACCCCAGCAAAGAAGGCACATGAATGTAGATCAATTCGTACGCGAGTGCACGTTTATTTACATTATGATTGAATTACTGTTTTCTTCTCAGCCCGCAAAACTTAAAGAGTGTTTGCTGAAGTTTATTGGATTTCTTGTGCCATCATTATAAAGTGTCGGATTCATCATTATAAAGGTCGTTGGAGATTCAACTCTATTTTATCGATATTAACAGCCTCTAAGTCCAATGCTGGACTTAGAAGCTCTACTCATGTAATTTAATAATGCATTTCGTGTGCTGATGAGGCTGTCTCGGTTGTGCAGTGTATCGGGGATGTTCGCTGAAGAGCGAGTGGATTGCTTCTACACGATCATTCTTAAGCGGTGTTCATCCCTGGTACCTAGGATCCGGGCCAGCTACAAAGGCATCCTAGTGATGTTCTCAAATAGAGTTGATTGTCATTACCTGAATCATTGTTGTATGGTTCATGTACTGGCAAATAAATAATCCAAAATTGTGTGTTCTTACTGAAAGATTTTTATTTATTCTCTTATTTATTTATTTTTATTTAACTGTTCTTTATTATCATAATTAATTACTAATAATAGGCTATGTTATCATCTAATTATACTAATTATGTAATATGATCCTTGTTGGTCGAAATAAAGACATTATTAAGTGGCGAAGCTTGCGAAGTCACTTATTAAGTGGCGAAGCTTGCGAAATCACTTATTGATTTCACGATGTCTGTCCGTCTGTCCGTCTGCCCGTCTGCCCGTCTGTCCGTCTGTCCGTCTGTCCCACGATTATCTCAAGAACGGTTTTGAATTTTCAAATTCTGTTTTCAGCAATCGATTACTGATCACCCAGGCATCTGAACCTCATATTTTGAAACTGATTGCTCAACGGCAACCGTTAGAAACCGCTACAAAGCTGATTGCTTCGCCACTTTGCTATGCTGTTAGCTTGCTAGGTTTATTATTAATATCAGCTAAAACCCCTTATTTTGAAAAACGAGTGAAATCATAACGGAGATAAAACGGAGAAGACAATTTTAATTTATAAATAACTAGCTGTGCCCCACGACTTCGCCCGCGTGAATTTTTTTGCGTGGAATCCTAAAATAAAAGGTAGCCTAAGTTACTCCTTATAATATCAGCTATCTGCCAGTAAAAGTACCATCCAAATCAGTTCACAGGTTTCTGCGTGATGCGTGTTCACGCCAAAATAGCTCGCAGATGACAGATTTTTTTCAGACTTCCTTCAGATTTATTGTTATATTTTGGCCAAATTACACAATATTTTTATGAATTATAGCTTATGTGTTATTCTGATGTATGAGCTATATATTGTAAAGTTTCATTAAAATAGATTCAGTAGTTTTTGCGTAAAGAAGTAACAAACATCCAAACATCCTCACAAACTTTCACGTTTATAATATTAGTAAGATAATATTAGTAAGATTAGTGAGATTCATGCAGTTATTGTTTTCTTTCTGTAGAGAATTACTTTAGCTAATTGTTATGTTTATTTATTATTAATATTTTTCATTATAAGTCACTAAGTTTTATTTATTTTATTTTATAGAAAAATATGCAGTGATATGTAACTACATAAAACTAATTTTACTCTCTAGGTTATCTACTAGTGATGAAACGATAGAGATGATAAAGCTGCAAAAACTTTAAATTTTAATTAAATTGTTAATTTACTTAATTTACTTTTATTTAATTTACTTAATGAGAGTACATCAACACAAAGAAAAAAATGAAGTATCCAATTTGTGTTGGATCGACCATAAAATTGACAACCTTAAAAAAATCCTTACTTATTAACGCCCTATATTGAAATTTTTTGTCGTGATACCGCAATTATGGTCGCATTTTGTTTAACAAGATGCTCACGAAAAAATGAAATGTTATTTATTTCGTGCGACAGTACAGTTTAGTTAGCAACTTCGACAATGATAACTATAAATATGACATTGGATGCTCCGCTCATGCTCCGCCACGACCCCGGTTTTGTTGCATGGAATTATTTGATTTTCAAATGTCGAAATAATTATAGAAGTCAAAAATTCAAATCACAAACAACGTGATTATATTGGCCTTACAAAATTATTGTAGCGAACTCATTTTCGTGCTAATTCTACTCAAATCTTAGTAAAAGATCGTATCATAATTCTAAACCAGAATACGAGTATGTACAGATTTATATATTGTATTATTTCGATAATGTTAATTAAAAAATAACCTTACCTAATCGCCTTTTTAGGGTTCCGTACCTCAAAAGGAATAAACGGAACCCTTATAGGATCACTTTGTTGTCCGTCTGTCTGTCTGTCTGTCAAGACCCTTTTTCTCAGGAACGCGTTGAGGTATCAAGCTGAAATTCATATCAAAAGCTCAAATCTACTGTCCCTTGGAGCTGAAAAAATCAAACTTCTAAGCCAACGCAATCAAAAGATACAGCCGTTTATGCCGCAAATTTTCGACATTCGCAAGGGAATCAAAACCTACAGGGTAGTTCCCGTGAACTCAGAATCTTAAAATTTGGTACGAAGCAACGTATTATACGCACAGATAAAGGAAAAATTGCGAAAAACATACATTTTTAGTTACATCATATAATAAAAATATTTTTAATAATTTTAAACTTATATACCTACGGATTTGTTCGGAACCCTCGGTGCGCGAGTCCGACTCGCACTTGGCCGGTTTTTTATATATGTATTGAAACATTAAGATTAGTTTTAATAAACTCGCCATCTAAAGTATCGAGCAAGTCGATTTCGATCCTCAGTGTTGGCATCACTCAAATCGTAAATTCTACTATTCATATCAACATTGTTAAATTCTACTCGTGGTAGTACCCCGTTTCTGCATAGAATTCCATCTGCGTAGGTACACTGTTAAATATTTCTGCCACCAAATAGCAGTGCTTGCATTGCTGTGTTCCAGCCAGAAAGGCAAAGAGAGTCAGCATAATAATAATAATAACAGGCTGTGAGGCATACCACGAAATTTACTGTTTACTGTTATCATTTTTCAAAATTCTCAAAAAAGCATACACGTTTCAACATCATCATCGTTACAGCTCTTTACAAGTCGACTGCTGAATGTAGACCTCCCTAAGGAATGCGACAAAGCGCGGTCCTGATCAACCAACATCTGTCGCTTCATCTAGTTGGGATGCATCTGCAGGTTTAAAGTATTTTAAACATTTCGCGGACGTATGATTCCATATCAATCCACAATTGAACTATCGTTAAATAGCTTCTTAACAATTTCTATACATACTCTTCTAGACTCTAATCTTTTTTCATCATCATCATCATCATTACAGCCCTTCACAAGTCTACTGCTGAACATAGGCCTCCGCCAAGGAGTGCCACAAAGCACGGTCCTGAGCCACCTGCATCCATCGACTTCCTGCATGTTTTACCAGGTCGTCACTCCTTCTAGTGTGGGGTCGCCCTACACTTCGCCTACCGGTATGAGGCTGCCACTCGAGATCTTTTTTCTGTCAGTACTGTCATCCGCATTTATTATTTTATTTTATTACATTCCTCGTACAACTTCCTTGTGGAATAGTTTACCACCAACGATTTTTCCGGACCGACACGACTTAGGGACCTTCAAGAAAAAAGCCTACTCCTTTTTAAAAGGCCGACAACGCATCTGCAATTCCCTTGGTGTTGCGGTTGTTCATGGGCGGCGGTAGTCACTTACCATCAGGTGAGCCGCATGCTCGTTTGCCCCCTCTCCTATAAAAAAAAACGCACAGTCGCGGACCGCCAAGCGGATGCTTGGCGGTCCGCGACTTAGATGGTGAGGATGGTATCGTGAATTTTGACGCGATGTACGTTCGTGAAATTAGGCAGCTGGAATTAATCCGAACAATTTCTCAGAGCATAAAAGATTGTGAAAGAAGTAATTATAATAAATATATTAAATATAATTATAATAAATAATAAAAAATTCACATCTTCTATAAATCTTTTTTATTTAAATGTAAATTTGAACTTCTATTAGGTGATAAAAGCGTCATTGAATATGACACATTATTTTTATTTATAATAGTTATATTTTTTCATTCCAGATCTTCTATACGAGAACTACATTCCAAATAATCCTGAGAAGCAAGATAGCATACTTCGAAAGTTGTCGGATTATTGTGGCAAGTCTATGTTCAATTACACAACGGAGGATGAAGAGCCGCCCTTCAAGTGGGATTTCTACCACTCCTTCTTTTTTTCATATACCGTCGTTAGTACTATTGGTAAGTTACTTGAAATTATTTCAAAAATTTGCTTAAAATTTTACAGCTCCTACCTAGGTGCCAAAATAATAATTATTTAGTTTTTCTTTATTTTTTACAATACGTTTAAAGACCTAAGTACGAGTATCAAATATTTTCAAAACTCGATATAGTGATGATCTGATGACGCAGAAGATGGGTGCAGATTGGCCAGGACCGTACTTTGTAGAAATCTATTAAAAAGGTTAGCTAATGGGATGTAATTATGATGAAAATATTTTTTGCTGCAATAACCTCGCAGGCAAATCGTAGATTGTTCACTGCATCTGCATTATTTGATCCTGCGACTTATGACTACGTGGCGGGGAACTCAATCATGCATACAGATACCCCAAACATACATACAACATAACTATTATATTTTTATTATTAGTATGTTTATCAAAATTTCAGGTTACGGTAATTTGGCACCAACGACGCCTTTGTCACGCATACTGATGATTTTCTATGGTCTTTTTGGCATACCCATTAACGGTATCCTCTTGGCGAACCTAGGAGAATATTTTGGACTACAGGTGAGTTGAAAGAATGATCGAACTATAATATTATTGACAGTAACATTTATTTCATAAATCGACAGACGGGGGTGGACGATTAAAATAATAATAAAGCAGAGGAAAGAGAGCAGAATTTTTTCATAGATAGCTACTCTCTTCAAGACCACTTTGCGTTGGCATCAGAGCCGTCATAAAGTAGACTTACAATAGGCGGATTCGTTACAAGCGAGGAAGGTGGAGACCGTGTCAATAGTAAAGCTAAATTTTTGTTATGACTTGCCACGAGAAAGAGAAGGAAGAGTTTTCTCCTCCCAAGGCCACCAAGGAGTGGTTTGTGAGGTTTATATTATGTGCTTATATTATGGGAGCGTTTACCAGTCTGATTATTTTATTGAATTTGTTACAGAAATTTGTAACATAATACTATACAATATTTGCTATGCGCCGATTATAATATTAATTTAATATGCGACTTTAATAATTTTTGAATATTTAACAATATATCATGTCTTACTTATGTACGAGTTATATTTTTTACATTTCTTCCTATGCTTTCAGCTCATATCAACTTACAGGAAGTACAAGAAGAGAAATGAAAAACGTGCTGACAATTTAAATTACTTCTTTCACAATCTGGGCATGCTAGGCCAGATTATGCTGTATCTGATACCCGGTTTTTTGTTCTTCATATTTTTGCCTGCCTGTATCTTTGTCGTGTTCGAAGGTTGGGACTACGTTGCAGCTGTGTACTATGCCTTTGTAACTCTTACAACAATAGGGTTTGGGGATTTAGTTGCAGGTTAGTTAATTTTTGTACTAAAAATAATATATGAAAAATAACAAACGACGATAGATGTAGATGTCTATGGGCCAAAGCAACCACTTACCATCAGGTGGACTGTGTGCTCGTTTGTCACCCTATCCTATAAAAAAATGTAATTTACTGGGTGGTAGGACTCCTTTTCGATCAAGGAGTACGTCTGGGTAAGCACCTCTTAAGTATATTTGTATTGACCATCAGTGATTACCGTACTGGTGTTCCGGTTTGAAAGAAATGGAGAGCCAACATAGTTAACGATAGTTAACTATGTTGGCTCTCCATTGTTTGAAGTTGGTGGCAGGTTCCCTTGATGGACTGCAGAAGCGACTTACCATGAGGTGGAGTTTAAATTTTATTCAATGTAGTCATCATTCAGTTTGATTTAGGTAACAACAAAAAACTAACATTTAAGATGGAATACTTATATTTTAAATTTATTTTGCAAATTTCAGGAACTGTTAACAATGGGTTCAAGTATGGATATTATTTCACTTACCAGATATTCCTCATAGTCTGGATCACATTTGGTCTGGGATATATTGTGATGTTACTCGGCTTTATTACCAGTGGAATGAGGTCTGAGAGAGTCCACAGATTAGAACAGAAACTAGCATATCAATTGAAATCAACCCAGAATAAGATATTCCAAGGATTTACAAAAGATATTGCAGTAATAAGGAAGATCATTAATGAAGCAAATTTATTGAAGCTAAAGGTAAATAAAATATTTATGTTATAGATAACATCACGAAATAACTGTCATAATATTTACAAGACATAATGAAATTAATGTTTGTATTTAAAGTCGAAAAGTTTTCCGGTTGCATGAGGAAATATTTAAATGTAGGTATTATTAATATCAAAGAAATGAAAGTTTTGATTTTTGGAAAAATATTAACCCTTTCGCATTGCTAATGTCTTACTATTATATTTGAAAATCGGACAGTAAAAGTGTTAATTTCTACTGGAATAAAAGTCCTCAAGCCGTATAGGTGACGCCGATTACTACTATCTCTCATAATATATTTAGAATTTCTACGTTACATTTAGAATCTCAGTTTATATACCAAGCTCTGTGCTTTATGATCATTATAATATTTGGTTCATACTTATTACTTTTATTATTTTCAGCCAGTGTACGTAGAAACAACACCACATCTTCACAGAAGTGCAAGTTGTCCTATTTTAACCTTTGATGTAGAACCCAGAAGACCGGTTGTTAAGAGGAAGCGAGCCAACTCCGAGAACATTACACTCTCTGTTAAAGATATGCTTCGTATTCAGTCAGATACTGATTTACTAGGAATTGATAAAGAAAAAACATTTACAGCTTCTGCTATAGTGAAGCCAGCGGAATTGTTAGCAAGGGTTGTAAATGTATTGGGTAGATTTGAAGTACAAAATGAAAGAGGTATACATATGTTTGACGATAATCATATACTAGCGACCGAAATACCTCCTATATTTAGCATTGGTGGGGATGTTATAGCTAGTTCTCCAAAAAGAACAAGAGCTTTAAGTGTTGCTGTGCCAAACTATAGAAAAGAATCCGTATCAAAATTAGATCACGATTTTACATGGACCAATGGTGATACCGCAGAAAAATACAGAAAAGAGGCAAATATAAGAAGTGGAAAATTATCACTTCCTACTAATATCAGTTCAGCAAACACTGAAAAAAATCAACCGCCAAAAAGTCTGTTTTCAAGAATATTTAGAAAACCAAGTTCAAGTGAAAGCCCTGCAGAATATATTAAAAACACTATGAAAGGCAGATTAAGTCTCGCGCAGGGTGCTAATGAAAGTGGTCAAGAAAAGTCAAGACGTAGTAGCATGTTTCCACCGTTTGGTCTTGGAGAGGAACAGAACCGCGACGAAAACGCATATAAAGAAAAAACCAGACGTGGAAGGTACAGCATTTTTCAAATGTTTGATTTTAATAAAGATGTTGATGAGGAAGCAAAAGCGTATAAGGAGAAAACTAAGCATGGCCGGCATAGCATATTTCCAACGTTTGATTTTTCAGAAGATGAAGATGTGACAGCAGCTCAATATTATCAAAATAAACCTAAAAGGCATAGCATTTTTCCTACATTTAATTTTAGTGGAGATGATGACGAAGATGCAAGACGTTATAAAGAAGGAACCAAGCGTGGTAGACACAGTATATTTCCTACGTTTGATTTTAGTAATCCTACGAGTAATGATGAAGATGATACAGTAGATGAAGATGAAGTAAAGAAATATCATAATCGGACACGAAAAGGACGGCTTAGTCTATTTCCTACTTTTGGCAAGTCGAAGAAAGATGATGATGACACTCTGCCAGAAAGCTCAGATGAATTGGTGAATTATAAAGATAAAACACGTCATGGTCGGAGTAGTCTATTTCCCTCATTTGATAAAGATAGGAAGCGTAGTTCACCATGCGGCAGTACAAGTGATCTTGAAACCAGCATTAGGCAGTATCAAAATAAAACTAAGGCAGGTAGAAATAGTTTATTCGCAGGGGATGTTCAAAGCTATAGACGAGCCACTGAAGGTGGTCGGAGGAGTCTGTTCTCAAATGATTTAGGGGAATATGGAAATATGACAAGACGTGGTCGTCCAAGTTTATTTGATTCTGATGTCGATTTAGCTAGTCTTCCAGAATCGGCACAAGTAGAAGTATTAGAACAAACTAGTGTAGCTGATTTACTTCGAGCGTTGGCAGCGTTAGAGACTGCCTCGCAAGTAGCTAACAGCACGATTGGGTCATCTGATACATCTGATAATGCACAAAGCAGAAGACGTGGATCTCTAAGACCTGATTTTTCTATACCAACAATGTCTAGTCGAATAGAACCAGAGGACGGAACTGGACCTAGGCGCAGAAGGATTTCTACAAGAGCTGCAGCGCCACAATTCACGCCAACTCTAGCAACTGTAGTAGCCGGGGCGGAGTTACAAATAACAGCTACAGCGGCGCGAGAAAATAGGATGACGATGTTAACTCATCCTCCGCCCCCGTACTCAGAAAATTCGTCCGAGGGGGAACTTCAGCAAAATAAGACAAGAAGGTACTCACCTGCTCCAAGCGATTTAAGCCGATCTACAGGTCCAGTACCAAGACTTTTTTCCCGTATACGAAAAGAGAGTGGTTCAAGTCCAGAATCCAGTTCTAGGCGAGGTAGCTTAACAGATATTGTAATTGATAGTTGTAGCAAGGATAAAACTTAGTGTTTATTTGTGTCTTCCTAGTGCAATATTTAAGTAATAAGTAGTAATTTAAAATTAAAGTAGTACCATGCCGTCCATATAGTAATTGCTTTGCAACATTCCTTAACGGAGGAGCTATTGCTCTATTTGCTATTGAGATTATTAAATAATGTACTGTTTATTGCTAACAATAAAGAACAATTACAGTACAGTTTAAGATATATTTGTCTATTTATTGTAAGTGAAATGCAAGTGATATGTGATATGTTTTATTAGTACTTCCTGATAAATTTTGCCTTATACAACAATGAACAAAGTTGTATCTAGTCTTTACACTAATATAGTGTACAAAAAAATAAATATAAACTGATTTGAACACGGTTCATGAGCAGTCACATTGATTATATATCGAATATTTTGAAATACTAAGTGCCTTAACAACCGTCTTTAGGTAGGTACTTATTTCTAATAGAAACTATGTGATATGGTTACAATTTGCTGCGATTTCTAAAATATAAGGTGGTAAATTATTTATTTTAACTTAATGCAAAACAAAATAAACTACCCAAATGAATTAAATTATTTAAAAATAATGATGATAAATAAAGATTTAACAATAAAATGTGACTATCATTTTTGACAGAATTAATTATATAGATTAATTATTTTATGTATTTCTTATACTCTCTAAGATGTTATCGCCGAAACAGATTTTTTTTTAATTTATCAGGAATTATACTCGGCGAGCGAATTTTCCTCAATCTTATTATGATTTCATATACATATGTATTTCAATAAATTATTGCAATAATAATAAGTGCATAAAATGCTTTTTAAATTTCATTTACGTATCTTATCTTTGCCTTCAAAATATAAAGCGTTAATTTGTTCATTTTCAAACGATGTAACATCATGTCTAAAAAATATTGAAAATTTAAAGTAATAGTTTCTTACAAGTATACTTTAACATGAGTATTTAAGCACTTATAGTTAATACAAAAAGGTCTTAAATTTATAGATATTTACAAAAGACAACCGTCTTAAGATATTTACAATTCGTTGTGACCTCAGCAATAGAAAGTTCTATTTTGGTCACCGGTCTCTACGTAGCAGCAGCTTTTACTGCTAATCGAAAACACAATTTACACAGAGTCAAAGTGTTTGTCTTCAAGTTTCAAGTAGCTAAACTGTCTCTCCTGACGCTTTTATCCAGACTTAAGTTTGAATAACACTGATCAATGTTTCCATTATCATTCTTAGTGAGAGATTCAAAAATAGAAATGAGGTTGTCGATGCCGATGAGGTAGCCATCTTCATGATTGCCAACTTTCCACGCGGAGTTGTGATCGATGGATACGTTATCTGGTACGGGGACAGTTTTCGCGAAATCAATCATCCAAATTGAAGCTCTCCTTTTATCGTGAACAAAAAGTAGCGAACTACCAATTAGTTCATGTGTTCTGAAGAAGTGTGACTCTATTAATGTCGCTCGAATGTTTTTCAGCCTTTCCAGGTACCTAGGCTGTTGAAAAAAAAATTGATTTAAATATTTACCCTAGTTAAAATAATATTAAAATAAATAAGATTTGATTTATTCGAAGTTGTAATAAAATTTTTACGAATACCTTACAATATTATATTTTATAAAATCCATTTTAGGTATAAACTAAAAAATTATTTAACCATAATTATAAACCCAATGACTCATAAGTAAATGTAAAATTTAAAATTTTTATGATTCAACTAAATTTTCTTACCACTGTATTTGGAAAACTACTTGTAAAATCTTGAAACGCTTCAAGTATTTGTTCCCTTGTCTTTGTTGTCTTAAAGTCTTTTGAACTAGTACCATCCGCTTTTTTCACTCCGTCTATTCTAAAACCTAGTGTAGACGTCGAGCTAATTGTCTCCCTCCATATCATATATCTTGGCTTAGTAACACCTTTGCTTCTATGTTCTTCTTCCGTCGGCGCTTTAGGGTCTACTTGAATCATTTTTTCATACATATCCTGTAATTGGTATAAACGTCGAATTCAATTTTATTATCAATTGACAGATAATTTTTAAGTGTTAATTTAAAATATGGTTCTAATGCTACTTAGTAAATTCTAGGTGTTTCTACATTTATTAGCTTTATTTAATGTTCGCGTGTATATTAACGCGATAGCAAGTTAATCTTCAGGGGTGACAACGCATTTGCATTTTGATTCCTAATCGAGAATAGATGTAGTGTAGATGTCTATGGGTCACAACATCCACTTACCATCGGTGGACTTTGTGCTTGTTTGTTTTATTCTATACAAAAATACCTTAAATATAATAACCGCTACTAGCGACTATAGATAAAACCACACTGGGATCTAACACGTCTAAAAAATAATTAAACGAACAACGTGGGTGATACATTGTATACTTTTTCCTTTTCTGCAGCCTCTCTCAAAAATCAGCACCCTTAAAAGGAGGCATGTGTGTTATAGCCAGCAGAGTTGTGTCATATATAACATTTTTTTTACCTTTCACCTTTTTGTTCCATGAGTAAACTTTATGAAAGGGAAACTTATGATATCAAAGTACGCATAAATGTTGTTTATTTCCGTACGTATTGACGTCATATTATGAATATAAACAGCGGATAAAATGTTTTACTGAAAAACATTATAATTATAACACAATACATTTGTAATGTTCCCATTGTTTTAGTCATATTAGTAGAACTTGACTCGAATTTTAAATAGAGGAAATATATAGACGGTGGTGTTTCACTCCAGAAAGCACATAAAGCCGTTCGGCCTGAGCCTGATCTCTCTCCAGTCGGCCGTGTCAGATTGCCGACCCATCGGACAATAAGAGTGAGGGAAGAGAGTACACTTGTTATTTCGCACACACTCGTACACTATAATCCTTTCCTGTCCAGTTAGCTAGCTAGTCTTTGTCAAGACTGGCCGCCGTGATCGAAATTTGGTCTGGAGGACATTAAATATAAGGAGTAACTTAATTTGCCACTATATGTTTAATTTTATTTACGTTAATGATAACATAAATGACAACAACGTCTCGATAACAGTATAAAACCTGACATATAAGTGTATATTTGTTTTTATCTATACAAATAAATAAAATTGAAGAGTCTGTTTGTAACGTTAAAATAACAACTTTTTACTAAATGAATATGAAAGTATATACTGTACTAATAACAAAAACACAAGTTTTAAAATTTTTGTCTCTCTGTCTGTTTGTTTCGGCTAATCTCCGAAACGGCTGGGCCGATTTTGACGGGACTTTCACTGGCAGATAGCCGATGATATAAGGAGTAACTTAGACTACTTTTCTTTTAGAAAAAGAATTAGAGTTCCGCGTAATAAAAATTAAAACCCATGAAATCCAAGTCCACGCGGGCGAAGTCGCGGGGAACAGCAAGTTGAATTATATTATGATATATATGTAAGTTACGGGGCAGTATTAGTTACTGCCAACCACTCAGTAATTATGCTGTGACGGTGTAGGAGAATCCGTCGCTTCATTTCGTCACGGGGTTTTTTTATTATAAAAGGGCGACAAACAGGCACACATTCCGTCTTTGATAAAGAATCAAATTACAGATGCGTTGTCGTCCCTGAGAACTAAAATCAGTGATATACAAAAAAAAAACTAAGATGGATTATCTCGTTTCCAGTAAAAAGGGTCTCCGATTCCCTACACTAACCATTTGAAACACAGCAGCGTTAAACTGCTATTTTACGCTGGTATTCTGTAAGTGCGTGGTCTTTTCTCGGTCGATCTGACTCATTGGTGCTATAACCATAACATAGCTGCAGCGTGACTCTACCGCGTGAAATCGTAAGAGACATTTATAGCGAATGTAAAATAGATCTCATGGCTTCTTTATACATATATGGTGCTATAACCATCACTTTTGCTACAGTAAAATACTCAGGCCGACTACAAGGAGCAATATCGAAGTTTCGAGACATGTGGTACTGCGTTGTTCAATCCGCTTGCCAAGCCATTATTCATGGGCGGCGGTAGTCACTTACCATCAGGTGAGCCGCATGCTCGTTTGCCCCCTCTTCTATAAAAAAAGCGTGAAGATTGAGGCACATCCTCCCCACAATATAGATACCTATGTCCAGTAGTGACCGACCGACGACCGACTCACAGAATACCAGCTTGAAAATGCTGCGTTTCGTATGGTGAGTGTAGATAACCGGAGATCCATTTTACTGGAAAAGAGGCATTCCATCTTAGTCCTCACGGGTGACGACGCATCTGCATTTTGATTCTTTATTGAGGATAAATGTAGATGTCTGTGGGTCACAGCAACCACTTATCATCAGGTGTACTATGTGCTCGTTTGTTACCTTATCCTATTTAAAAAAGTGAACTTTGACAGAAGAAAAAAAAACATATTTTTTTAATTTAAGGTGCCTTCATCTTACCTTATCTCAAAAATTCATATAACATTAAAAAATAATTATTCGTTGAAAAAATAATATAATTGGAAAAATCATTTTTATCATAATTATGTTGTATAATAAAAGATGAGGTAAGGGAAAGTCTGAAGCCAAATTCAATATACTTTATAACTTTAAAATCACACATAAATTGTTATATTATTTCACACATACTTTTCTCAATTTAGTTTTCTCCTTTGCTTTTGCTAATTCCTCCTCCAAATACGTTCTGACTCCAATCTTGCAATCCATCACACACGGGGAGTCAAAATCACTAAGTAGATCTTGAAGTTGCAGATATACTGTATTGGAAAAAATGCTAAGGAAATGGCTGTATTATTTTAGATATTAAGTATTTTTTATATGAAGTGACCTGGTAATATATGCAGGAAATTGATGGATGCTCGTGGCTTATAGGACCGTGGTTTATTACATACATGTTATATGTTCAGTTTTGGACTTATGAGGGAATGTAATAATAATAATGATAGCTTACTTCTACTCATAAATTAACTTTAATAATATTTAAAAATGTAATATTTATTCAATTTAAATATTTCAAAAAAGGATACATTCTCCATCCTCACATGTCACTTGACCCTTGTATTCAGGGACGAACGGCCGAAGGATGTCTTTCATCAGTAACTGAAAAAAGAACAAAAAGTTTTTTTCATAATGTGAAAAAAGGGAACAGCCATATAGTTTAGTTTAGTTAGATAGTTTTAGATTTTTCTTAGTTTCTTCATCTACTTCGACCAATAGAAGTCTATTAATCTATCTGGGCCTCTCCTGTTATAGAAAGAGCTTTTATCAGCTTTAGTTAAAAAAGTTCTTTCTACAACAACTTTAGAGTCGGCTCGTCCAGGGACGGACCAAGCTGTTATAAATAACCAGAGTGAAATACTGCTGTGTTTCATATGGTGAGTGTAGTGAACCGGAGACTCTTTTTACTGAAAACGAGGCATCATTGTGAGTCCTCAGGGATTACAAAATATAGATGAAAACGCATCTGCATTTTAACTCTTAATTGAAGATAGTTATAGATGCTGTGGCCATGTTATGCTGCCCTATCGTTATTTTGAAAAATTTTCAATGGCGGGAAAAGAGTTATACCGCCATCTATTTTAATGAGATCTTTTTGTTATTGCTATTAGTCGCCTCTTACGACACCCACGAGACCAAAATGTAGGCGGTCAACTTAGTTTAAGAATATAAAATATCATTACATATAATGATGAGTAACTTTAGCACTACTATCAACAACATTATCAAAGTTTGTCAATAAACAAGTTTAAATGTTTTGTAAACTGTACAAGAAGGGTTATTATAATATCATGTAATACATGAATGAAAATAACCCTAGCGAATGAGGTGATCGCAACCATGCTGGTTCTATGAAAATTAATTTGAAAAATGTACAAACAAAATGATTGTAAAGTGAAATATGTTTAAAAAAAAAGTCCCGCTGGGTTTCTTGCTGGTTGTTCCCAGGACGGAGGTATTTTTCGAACTGTAACCGTAAATAAAAAATTACTTTCAATAAGTATTATGTAATAATCAATATTGAATAAAAAATATTATATTCTATTCATTCATTCTATTCTACTTTATTCTAGCCTAAAACGTCGTTAGTCTGCAAATCTGATTCTTGATATTTGAATTTTTTTATTTAATTTTAATTCAAATCTGAAATTTGTCTTTAGGTGTATATTTATTGAATATTAATATTAGTAGTTTATTGAATATTAATATTAGTAGTAGCTAGTAATATTGCTCCATTTCAACAGGCTGTAGTAGGTATATGGGTTCGGCACATTTAGCCATGTCATTCACCATCATTTTGTCGTCAGAAAAGTTTGGATATTCCCAGTTATAAGTTCCCACTAATAAGTTTCAACTTATAAGTGGGAATATAGTGCGTCTCACTGTAGGGGCACAGGACTCCCCTCATTTCTAGAATAATCGACAGTTCGTCCGTCACGCTACTTAATAGCGTGTTGTCTTCACATGTCTTCGAAATATTTTAGACATACATGCAGGTACCGTCTGGCACGTGGTAAATCAGTATTTAAAATTGCAATAAGTAATTTAATTGATACTGGTGGGGATCGAGCCAGGGTTGTTAGCGTACTGTGAATTTATACTTATATCTCTTAAAATATAACCATTTACCTATAATGTGGTTTAGTATATCTATAAAACCTAAGTTCACCTACATGTTTGAGGAATAAAAATATTTCCAAGACATGTAATGGCCTCCAATACGCACCGGAGCAGCGCCGCGGATTAATTCCTTTATAATCCTATCAAACATTAGAGGAGGCCTGCGTTCAGCAATGGGATTTATACGAGTATAGACTGTAAAAACATTTACTTTATTAAATTTCTTTCTATATTTAAATACATATTATTAGGTGAACGGCATAGTCGGGAAGGGTCGCCCTAGGCGAAAGTTTATCGACCAAATTGGCGATATATTAAAAATGGGCCATATCAAGAGTACCTTTAACCGACGAGCGTGTATGCGTAGGTATATGGATGTGGATGAAGCGAGGAAGGTGTGTCAGGATCGTGCCAAATGGAAGTCCATAATCTCTGCCTACCCCTCTGGGTGACAGGCGTGAGTGTTTATGTATTATTAGGTACATACTATTTAGATACACAATAGTACAATATTAGTACAGCCTGTAACACGCGGTATATAAAGATGTGTTATATAATTAATGCCTTATTTATCTAAACCGGTTGGTTATAAAGAGTTAAAATAGAACAAACTAGTATAGGTACGCAGATATGCTAACTAGGAAAACATAACCGTCCATGGTTTTCTAGGAGTTGAAATGAAAATTTAAAATTATAATATGTTGTCTATTTTATAGGCGTGACGTCTGTAACAAGATAGTCACTGTTTTAATAGAAGGTAAAACAAACATGGTTGCCTCCGTAAATAATGATTTAAAATCTTCTGTTCTGACAGCTTCAATTAGTTTCTTCACAGCAAGCAATTAATCACACAGCGATACGACTCATGTTTACTCTACATGTTCTACTATTGGTAGGCATAAATACTATAGAATGAATTTATTTTCCGCAATAAATGGTGATATGTTAACAATTGTGGGATATTATCACATACCAATAATCATCTTTCTAGGGTATATTGATCAAACCAACATATCAAGCATTTTTTTTTGTTTTTATAGTATATAAATAATAAATATATTTAAAAAAGAAACATGCGTGTGTGTCGTGGAGCATTCGGTTGGAACGGAGTTCCTTTTGTAGTATATTATTATTAAAAAACATATTAATATATTATTGATTAAAAATACATATAAATTAATTACTAGCGTCTATTAAAATGTAGCGTCATTTAAAATAATATTTCTATCATGGCAAGATAAGAAAAAGTGCGAGGGAAATGGGTATTATTCCATCTCGCTCGCACTATAGAAAGGGGGTCGTGACGGAAAAATTTTACACTTTTTCTCGCCTAACCTTCTTCCGGCAAATTCGTACCGTGCGATAAGGAACGTCGTAAAAAAATTATGCATGTTTATTACTTTTTACTAGGACGTTGTTTGTGTGTGACAAATAAGGCAATTAAAGGTGGTAGTTCTACATGCATTTCTGTCCCCAAAAACCGTCCTACAAAAATCAAAGCTGCTTGTACCCATTGGCGATAAATTACATATATATATATATAGGATTACGGTGACAAACGAGCACACAGTCCACCTGATGGTAAGTGTTTGCTGTGGCCCATAGACATCTACATCTATCTTCGATTAAGAATCAAAATGCAGATGTGTTGTCACCCATGAGGACTAAGATGGAATGCCTCGTTTCCAGTAAAAAGGGTCTCCGGTTCTCTACACTCACCATACGAAACACAGCAGCGTCAAGCTACTATTCCACGCTGGTATTCTGTGAGAGCGTGGTCCTTCCCCGGCCGAGCCGACCCATTCGTGCTACAACCATAATATAGCTGCAGCATGGCTCTACCACTGTTGCTATAGGCCGTTATTGTACTATTTTCTTTACTATTTTTGTTTAATACAAGTACACAAGGTAGATGGTGCGCCTGTATTTAAACACATTTCTAGATATTTCTAGAATTGGGTTGAGTGAAAAGTAATAAAAAGTTAAATCCAACGATAAAATTTAAATTAACGGTTCAATCACCGAATATTTATAATTTGTCAGTATTAGATATTATTATATGGTAGGAAACGATTCTTTTTTATGTAACTAAATGCCAAAAAATCTACTGTTAAAGTTTTTAACTTTTCCTACCCATTTCAAATTTTTCATCAACATTATATTTACCCACTATTAAAATTTTAGTTGAACTTTGCTACGTTTATTATTAAATAAAAATAAATACTTATAGAGTATAGTATATTATGAGCAACAAGTTTTGTAAACGTACTATACGTGCGTTATTATACATATACTATAATCAATAGAATAATTATTATCCATTATAATCGATAAAAATACTTAGGATTCCTTTCTGTAATTAATGGATGATGGAATAATGGAGGTGTGTCAGATTTTACGTAGTAGGTAAGTGTACGTCAAATTGAGACAATGCTGGTAAAGTGCTAAATACAATTAATTTTCATATAAAGCGATGTTATGACTGTTGTGACTTGTGACCCGTCCGGTGACATTTGGGCGTCACATGCATTATTACAAAGCAATATCCAAATCGATTTAATTAATTAGAATAACATGCGTGTGTATTTGAATAGAGTTGATTTTCTTTTTGAAAGGTAGGTACCTAGTTGAGAATTTTACTACAGTGTATATATTTATAATTTCTATTATCCATTGTCATTACTTGTTCGCCAAAAACCTACTGTAAAGTTTCAATTAACTCTCACCCTCATTTGTAATTTAAAATTCGGATAATTAGGCAGCCGTGGATAAGATTAAAATGTATTCATTATAATATAACGACTGTAATGACGTGTTTAGCTAATTCATCGTTGTAAAATGAATACGAATGTAATTTGTTTATCAATGAAACATAATTGTTTATTGCACGAACCGTATTCCAACCTTTATCACATTCATAAATTAAATTAAATTTTATTCAATGCACTAAAAATAATTATAGTATGTTCTCTAATCAAAATAATTATTATATGTTATAATTAATATATAATCTAAATGACGATGATATTATTTCTTGTAAAGTTTCTTTAGAGTAGGTAGTTTTGCAATTGCAGTAAGTAGGGTCGTATTAGTAGGGTCTTATTAGTAGGGTCGTAAGTAGGTCAAATTTCAACAAAGGTGAAGTTTCGTTTTGTTGAACAACGTCTGACGCATTTTAGGACTCGAATATGCCCAAACTCGTGTTTCGATTGACGTCAATGGTAGCGAACATAATATTATACTGATAGTATAGTGTCAAATACCGTTTACGTTGTGAAATTTTATCCAAACCGGCAGCAGAATTAAATTTTCAACTAAGATTCCGATTTGCATTCATCGAACATTAACCGGTTTTATATATTTGGTAAAAAATACTTACACCTTTTTAAAACTAATTCAAATTCGTTTAAAAGTTTTGAGTCAAAACGTTGAAGAAACAAATCGTCAGGTAAGAAAATTATGCAGGACCATACCTACATGACCGCTAACAAGTGCTAGAAGTGACCGCACATCTCGAACTCGAATGCAGAACCGAATAACATCAAAATATAAACGTCACCATTACACATCTTTCTTAAAAAGATGTTTCAAATTACTTTTTATTCTAAACGAAATACTTTTTTTTGTGAGGTATGTACAAACGCTATCAAAACACAAGTTTCTTGTAATCGTTAATAACATATACATTGTATATTAACGGAAATACTTTAAAACCATGCCGCCAATTTTTATTCTTTGCACTTTTTATAAATGGACCACTAACTAAAAAAAATCACGACATCGAATGATAAATTGTCGTGAAGAGAAATTACCTAACCGCAAACAAAGACGTCAGTGTAAGATTATTAAAAATTAATATTGTATTCATTAAAGTAGATAGCGTTAATTGAAAACCACAAGGTGAATCTCTAGGTCTTGTGTGACGTAAACGCGCTCGATGTTGATCACCTCAATTATCGTTATAAATGTGCGATTGTATTTACTTAATTTATTATTTTGTGAAAGCTTACGTTTACTTAGGTATTTAATTTTTATAACTAATCTTTATATAAAAAAATTACGTATCACATTGTTTGTCCGCGATGTACTCCTAAACTACAGAAATGATTTCAATGAAATTTTGTACACTGTGTGCAGTTTGGTCCAACTTGAGAGATAGGATACTTTTTATCGTGATAAGCGACCTTCAATATTTTTTTATTGCGAATTTAAGAATTTTTTTATAGGAAGGGTCGTCGGAAAGGGCAGAACAACGTCTGCCTGGCCAGCTAGTTAACTATATATTTTGATACATAATATATATTTACATTTAGAGTTTGTTTAAAGTCCGTATTAAATAATTACAGGCCGTAATCCATCCATCTTATTTCTTAATGATACACGCAATACAGTAGAAATTGTTGAAGTTAGTTGCACTTGAGTAATCTTTTACAATCAGTTACTATTCTTAGTAACGTTTGAAAGTAACAGCAATCAACTTAATAATTATATCTATTCTTTACCTGAAAACACCTCTCCTCTTGTGGACAGAGTTTCTTCAATATTGTTCCTTGGTCTGGTCCAGCCTTAAAGTTTCCCTGGTGCCCAGCTAGCTGAATCCACGGATACCGCTGCTTTTTGTAGGTTTGAAAGAACGGAGTCCACTGAACGATGTTACGAAGCTTACGCCATCGTTCTGACTGCTGAAAGAAGATGAACAGTTTGTTAGTACTGTTCAATGTAACATCAAGTCGGTAAGTTAAAAAAAAAAGGGGTAAAAGGGGATATATCAAAAATTTATTCTCTAAGAGCTAACTCCACCTCATTAATACACTACTAACTAATAAACAAGTCTTAGAAAACCGATTGATGGCGGAAAATCTATCCAAAACGAGAGAATACAAATATTTAAATTTAAGCATTCCATCTACGAACCGCGAAATACAGATGGACAGATAAACATCTAGAATCTAGACAGACAGTAACATTAATAGAGTTCTGTTTTATCTTTTATGTACGGAACCCTAAAAAGCAACTAATTAAATATCTAAAGTATCTAAGTATAAAAAAAATTGGTTAAATAAGTACGTATCGCTAATAGAGCAGACCGAATCGCACTTGGCCGGTTTTCTGGGTTTATCGTTAATCATTTATTTTTAAACAAGCTGATGAATACACAGACTGATTATTAGGATCTGAATTACTAGTGCGAGGGTATCGGTTTCGTGCCCACTAACCCGCTTCGGCATCTTCCCAGAAATACGTGCCAGCTGGCGCGTTCTCAGAAAGGACGTGTCTATCGGTAAACTTAAGAAGGCTGGTGACAAGGGCTTACAATTTCAATGATATTCATATATCACGGCGTCAGTAGTAAATATATTATAGGTGGTCTTACACTGCTGTTTGTAAGAGGAAGCTTGAAATCGCGAGTTATGGAGAGGACTATGATCAGTGTTTATTTGTGTGATAGACTTCGTAATGAAGATATTCACAGTAGTACCTAAGTACCCAACATAGCCCAACTGAAATGGTAATGAGTTTGCTATATAGCTCGAAGAACTGACAACCAATGAGGACACATGTTGACCGTTGACGACAAAATTTGAAATATAGGCAGAGTATATAAATTGACAATTTGGCAAGACCCGGAATTTGATGGATGCTGGCCGCTCGATACCATGGTTTGTAGTAATCCTTGGCGGAGGTCTATGCCCAGCAGTGGATTTGTGATGATATGTAATTATGATGATGATTATATATTTATTACTGACACATATAATAATTAATTGCAGTAATAATTAATGTATTTTCCAGGAAAGTGTAAATTCCTAAAACCCAATACAAGCCACTAATACACTAAGAATTTTTTCCTGCTTAAATCAAAATATGTTATTAACATTGCTACATCATCTCATAATGATTCAGACGTACATTGATTGTCGGTTCTTCGGGCTATATAACCAGCTCATTGCCACTTCAGTTTACTAATACGTTGTTAATTACTTCTTGAAAATCATTAACACTGGTTCGGTAAAAACCTCTGTCCTGGGAAGACCCAGCTAGAAACCCAGAGGGACTCTTTTAAACATAAATTTACAATATAATAAGTTGTACAATTAAATATGACAACATTTAGAAACAGCATATAGTAGCGATCACCTCATTCTCAGGAGTTATTATCAATCATGTACTCTTAAGTAGTATAATAGTCCATATTAAACAATTTTTGTCTAATAAAAATTTTAAACCTTTTGATAGATATGACCTGGCTGGGTTAATTTGTAATTTTAACGAACTTGGAAGTGAAAATACAAGAAATACATGAGAATGCATGTCTGATTAATAAATTTTACGAAAAATCTGTGAAGTCCGCCAAAATGAACTGAACAAGTGCGGCGGACTTATTGCTCTATCCACCTGCCTGTGTCGTATGACATAATATCAGGATGCTCCTTCACAGGTTCCTTGTTGCCTCTAATGACTAGTTAATTGTACGAAGCAATTCCTAGCACGTAATTATATTGACGCTTTTAGCATTCAATCAGACCAAAACGAGTAACCTACTTTTCAATTGAATAAATTTTTGAATGACGTAAATTTAAGTAGTGAAGTATTTAGCCAGAGCACGTAATTAACATAATTGTTTTAACAACATCTGTGATGAGACGATTAATTCTGTTTAAATATTAAAAGCTATTGTTACAAAATTATGGCCTTCAGTATTTTAGGAGATTGTTATACATAAAATATGATATACAGTCAGCAACAACCTTTGTTATACAGTGTTATAATATAGTGTGACCTTTTGTATAAAATAAAATCCACTGTCTCGTTAGTTAGTGGTCATAAACGAGATTACTGGTAATGTGGTTTTGAATCTCGGGTTGAGCCAAAGTCAGTTATTTGGTTTTACTGGCAAGAAATTCTCAGTAGAAGCCAGATAGAGTCAGATAGTTGACGATATTTCACCCAAAACACTTTTTTGAAAAGCATCGGACGGTAAGAGTGAAGAAAAAGAGAACACACATGCATGGACTGTTGAGATTGGCCGCTGTGATTGAAATACCATAAAATATTCTTAAATTTTTCGTAGACAGATTTTACCATACTAATTAAGCACAAGGTTACCGTGTAGTGGCGGTGTAAGAATATCCACTACCCCATATCATCCCGTGGGTATCTTAAGAGGGGACAGAAGAAAACAAATCAGGAGATGAGCAGCAGCGTCTTCCTAATAAACACTAAAAACAAAAAATAAACTGCGGTTGCCAACCGCTTGCCAAGCGTAGCAACTATGGCAAATATTCCCCCTAGGAGGCAATCTATGAGAAAGGCCTATGTTCGGTATAGGACGTTAATAGGCTGTAACGGTAACAGTAACGGTAATCAAACCCGAAAAAATTTTTTTGTAATGATGTAAATTTGAATGAAAAATTGACGAATTTTGATAAAATAAAACGAATTTAGCTTTTAACGAATGTTCTACATCCAAGCCGTGGAAAATTAGGGGATTAAGGTTTTAATGTAACTATTTACACGACATTCTATTTATTTCCTTGTACTTGTGATATTGCTTAGACCACTTAAAAGAGTAAAGTAAACCGACCTAAAACAAAATTAAAATAAAATGATTTCCACAGCTAAGCTAAGCTATTAAGCTTCTGAACTCGGTGATAAGTCATCGAATAATGAATAAAGACCCGACTTTAGAAGCATGTGAAAATTATTTTAGTTTGTAAGTCTATTAAAGGTTAAACTATTTACTTGTTTTGACATACGACCACGAGATATGACATTTTAGTTAAGTTTAACGAAATCACATACCTACGTATATTTGATTTGAAGCGACCATAAAACGAAATAAAAAACGGACTGCGGAACTCAAAAACGTGGTTTGAATTCACTATTCGATTTCGACTACATGCATTTTTGACATTGATATAGTAGCAGTTATCAATAATTTTAAAAGCATTGCTAGTATTCCCTTAAAAATAATAATTAAGGCCATAAAATACGATTTTGTACATGAAATAGATAAAACTAAAAAGCCACTTGAAATATAGCGAAGCGAGTCTTTCCACAATTTAATATAAAAAAAGATTGATATGCTATGATAGATCTGTTGTCTGAATATTTGCAAATAAAATAATCTTAAATTTAACGGTACTACGAGTAAAGCGAAAAGAATGTTAGAATTTCTTTTGATTAGGTTGAGGTGCTGTTACGAGGGCGACACTGAAAGTTTCTAGAACCGGACACTTGTACACGATATAATAAAAAAGTAAGTTCAAAAATTGTTGAAAATGTTTGAAAATGGAACTCTTTGCCAATATGATTGTGTATGTATTTTATTAATTTGTCATTTGTTTACGATTTGGCGGCAAATTGAAAATTGTCTGTGTTACGTCACACAATTTAACGCGAGAAAATTTTCGTACAATGATTTTTTATGACTTTTGATGTCATTTAAGTCAACAAGAAAGTTATGATAGACTTCGATTGGCCTTTCACGATGAAGCCCCATCTCGTGTCACTGTTTACAACTGGTTTAATGAGTTTAAACAAGGTCGCACTAATCTCACCGATGATCTGCGTGAGAGACGGCCTTCTACGGCGACGACTGAAGATAACATCAGTGTTGTGCGCCGTATGATAGAGACTGACAAAAGAGTGACTTATCAGCAGATTCGGACAAGCTTATGCATCGGTATGAGACAAGTGCACAAAATACTTTATGAACATTTAGCGGTCAGGAAGCTTTGTGCCCGGTGGATACCTCATAATTTGACAGAGGCCCAAAAACTCTGTCGTGTTCATTGGTGTCGTGAAATGATTCAAAGATTTAACGGAGGTGACTCAAAGGCTATGTTAGACAGACTTTTGAGTGACGAAAGCTGGACTTATTGTTATGATCCTGAATCTAAGAGACAGTCTGCTCTCTGGGTGTTTCCTTCCGATGAATTGCCAACTAAAGTTAAGAGAGATCGAAGCGTTGGAAAAAGGATGGTAGCCCCGTTCTTCGGAAGGACAGGTAATTACGCAAAAACTGTCTTAGAGGATCCAAAAACAGTTACTGAAGAGTGGTACACTAATAATTGTTTGCCACTTGTCTTTGTCACCATGACAACGCCTTGTCGCACACCGCCAAGCAAATAATCGACAACTTGGCGACGTCAGGCGTGGAGTTACTGGGCCACACGCCCTATAGTCCCGACCTCGCACCTTGCGATTTTTATTTATTTCCGAAAATAAAAGAAAAACTTCGAGGAAAACGTTTTATGGACGCCGAGAAAGCAGTGGCTGCGTTTCAAAATGCCGTCGAAAAGACCCCTAAGGACAAGTGGGCAAAGTGCTTTTCTCAGTGGTTTCATCAGATGCAGCAATGTATTAATGTAAATGGACACTATTTTGAAAAGATATAATAAAACGAATAATTTGCTAGTTTGTTCAGTTTTTGATTTTCTAAGAAAATTTAGTATCAGCCTCGTAACAACTATCCACAATATTTAGAGGTTATTGCAATATGCTGCAATCACATCGTAGTAATTGCAACAGTAAAAACAATTAAATCTTATTTTTATTATGTTATTCCAAAAAAAAGGTTTTTAAAATTAACAACAAATATTTTATGTCCATAAACCTTATTTTTCCATATTTCATAAATATTTTACCTAAGCCCTATATGGATCATTATTTAAACTAGGTATAGACCTAGTTGATTCGCAGTATAATAGCGTAAGAAACTATATAAAGTAAATCCACAACCTCATATCATCCTATGGGTAAGATAGGTAGTCCTGTGGGTAAGTAAAAGGGACAGAGGAAAACTGAAAAAGGAGATAGCTGCATTTTCCTGATAACAACTAAAAATAATTAAAACTACGGTTGCCAACCCGCCTGCCAAGCGTGGCAACTATAGCAAATAACCCTTTTTCACTTTCACTTTTGAACATTTTTAATAATATAGGTATAACTAAGCTACCTCTTTTGCGATCTATCCTCTCCCCTAATACATACATACTTAAGTATATTTATTTTTGTTAATATATATAAAAATCAATAGCAAACACGATATTGTTAGGATTTTAAAAAATCGTAAAAAATAAATTACTTATATTTCTCACTTTCTTCCAAGGGAGGATTTAACCCCTCTTACCGCTTCGCTAAATGCATACTGTAGTTGCAATTGTAATATAAATAAAAATGTTATATAAAACTGACAACATACAAAAAATGTATTAAAAATAGAATGTAAATAGGTACCTTTTTATTTTGGAAAATATAAACCCAGAGAACCACATCCACGAAATCTTCAATGTGAAAGCAAATATTACCCGACAACATTGTAAAAATAATCAAAACTATAATGTCCAGATAAACGATATCAACACTCTAATTCAAAACACTATTCTTTCAGATTACTACAATAAAATCCAAGTTCTTCCAGCAGTATCTATTGCAAATCACACACTAGACAGTACTGACCATTGCAAGGAACAGAACGATAATATAAACCATAATATCTGTTGTTCTGACTCAGTTGAAAACGCAAAGCTAAACGTGACGTCAACGCTGCGCGTTTCTTATATTATGTAGTACACGGATTGGTGGAATACAGGACCGGTTGGAGGTGTTCATAGTTTTAATTGCAAGACGGGTTGCGGTCTTATTCTTGTTAATTAAATAAGTTTCCGAGAAACAAATGGACTTTACCAGGGCTTTGATAACGTTTGGTGACTTAATCAAGTAATTTATATAAAGGCTACAACTATGGTGAATTCATTATTAAATGAATAAAATGTCTGCAAATATTATGAAAGACATAAAGTAATTATTTGTTCCCTAGACGAACAACACGAATAAAAGAAAAATCTTGCACATAGAATAGGGTCTCTCTCTTCTCTCTCTTTTCGGTAAGGGATTGCTATTACTATTTGCGCTGCTAAGAAGTACTTAGGCAATGCGTCCAATGTTGTATAATACAATTTTTTTATTTTTAGTAAACCCTATAAATTAAAGTCCAGATGTTTTTATATCCTGAAAATCTTAATCATCCATCTACAAGTTTCCAGTGAGTCCAAATTTGGATATTCGTAGGCTTCAATGACCAACATTATTATATTTATATATTCTTAATATAGTACCTGAGGGTAATATGGTCATCCGGTTAATATGGTCACTTTCTTATAACTCCAAAACTACAGCCTTGTTCGCAAAGATGGCTTTGTGATACGAGAGCTCTTCATCAGTCAATTAAATAATAAAGGGTGAAAAGGGCGCTGCTTTATCATCACCATTTTGACAGCTGATATTACAATAAATATTTTAGTCGATTTTAGTATTGTGTGTATTAAAATCAACTTAAAAAACTAACTACACTATAGTAAGTTTTTTAAGTAAATTTTTCGAAGTGTTCCTAATTATTGCCAAGGCTTGTTTGCTATTTTTTTCTTAATATATAAGTTATAGTATTCGACTTTGTGTTTTTGTCTCTATCCTCCTTCTAGTTTTGGTTATATAGGGCGGCAAAGGTTAAGGTGACCATATTGCCCTCACGTACCTTATTTATATAAATTTTAAAATAATTTTTAATAGACGAAGGTAGAACTTAAATAGATAAATAGATAACACTTTATTGTACGAAAAAAAATATTAAACTTACTACATTTTTAAATCGATGGTAAAAATTTAATAATAATATTCAATTAGATTTCTACACGTACATACATACAGGTCAAGCTAAAAGCAGAAAAAAGCGTGTTTAAAATCGTACATGTAAAGTTGCAATCAAGCCATAGATTGTGTCGTCAGTTTCCTTAAAATGTTCTATTCATAATTGTTGTTAAATCATCAATGACTAGTAGCTTATGCAATAACAAGTTTTTGGACAATAGAGTTATTTATTGATAGTTTCCAGCCATACAAATATGACGCCCGATGAATAACGATATACGTGAAACAAAAGTTTGCGAAACGTTCGTGACGACAATTTCCAACAAGAATTGGTGACCGTTTCCTAACGTTTGCTCATATTGCGGTATGTGGTTAAAATTATAGAGAACTCTGTATCCTTATATTTTATTCATTTATATTTCGCGAAGTTTGTCTGTCCGTTAGTATGCCTGTTAAATATAAATCGAAAATCTCTTATCTGTTTGAAATGATTGTATTTTTTTAAATTTATGACTATGTTTATGGCTATCTGTTTTTTAAATAAAACTAATTTTACGGATTTTATCGCGTATATTAACTTATTTTTATATTCCCGACGTTTCGGGTGCTTTCCAGCACCCGTGGTCACGGGGGACTTCCCCCGCATCCGTGGTCACGGGGGACTTCCCCCGTGACCACGGGTGAAATCCGTAAAATTAGTTTTATTTAAAAATGTGTAGTGTTCGCGTAAATATAAGAAATCACTATGGCTATCTGATTTAATTACGTATTTTGTAGTTGTAGTTACATATTTTGTGACGGTAAATATCATCTATAAATATACTAGCCCTTTATTAGGCAAATGGTTTCAGCGCGTCACAACGCAAAACCAAAAAAAAAACATAATGTTTAACACCAAAAGCAGGCAGTATTTATGCCAGCTTCCTATCTCCTCGCAAGGTACTTAGATTTGCAGCCGCAAGTCTCGGCTCTCTCGGAAGGTGACCCCATGCGCCTAAATAATATCTGTAATTACATTGAAATAAAAAAAAACATGAATTTTCAGATCTCTTTAAATAATGTTGTTTATGGAATGGTCTAATTTTATAATTATAAAAATAATGCAGTATTTTTAATTATTACATATACCTATGAAGAAATATTAATATGATATTGTATTTATATATAATATTGTAAAGCGAAGCTATATTATATTTTAAGTCGCAATAAATCGTTTTGTAAGGGTCACTATTAAAAATGAACATATATGTAACACGTGCACGTATATGTAGAAAAAACACTTGAACATGTAGTCATGTTGTCTTGTCGTTACTTAGTCTTGAAATTAATTATAATATATTCAATTTCATTTTCATAATCGCCGATAATTGCGCCGTCTAATTGAACCCTTGTAATATATGTAATTTATTTAAAAAGCGTAGATAATTAATGAACTAATTTAAAATACAAGTGCAATATATTTAACAACTAACAAATCAACATTTGAATAGTGGAGGTTACGAACTCTACTTTATTATGTAATGCACACATAGGTAATACTACGAGTACATAAAATCATTTTCTAAAAAATGTTTTTTAATTTAAGAGACTTATTCAATTAAGATAAAAAAAAAGTCTATTCACACATCAACATGGTACCGACAAAGCTGCTATAATTGGTAGTAGAAATAATAAGGGTGGCACTCATTTTAGGTTTTTCATAGGCATCAACGACAAAGCATCATCATTTTGATTGCCAAGCGGGGACAGAAGTATGTGTCTATGGATCACAACATTAACAGATTGTTCGATGCTGTGTTTGTTTGACACTCTCACTTGAATATAGTAAACAATAAATACTCATTAAATGCTATTTCTAGACTTTATAGCATCATCACTATCATCATCATTACAGCCCTTCACAAGTCCACTGCTGAACATAGGCCTCCCCTAAGAATGCCACAAAGCACGGTCCTGAGCCACCTACATCCATTGACTTTCTGCATGTCTTACCAGGTCGTCACTCAATCTAGTGAGGGGCCGACATACACTTCACCTACCGTTACGAGGTTGCCACTCGAGAACGTTTTTTTCCCATCGCTTGTCGGTTCTTCGAGGTACATGGCCGGCCCATTGCCACTTCAGCTTACTAATCCGTTGGGCTATGTCGGTTACTTTGGTTCTACTGCGGATATCCTCATTTCTAAGTTTATCACGCAGGGGAACCTCGAGCATAGCCCTCTCCATAGCTCGCTGAGCGCCCTTGAGCAAGTATACCTAAAACTTGAAAACGAAACTGTACAACCAGTGCGTTTTGCCAGTGATGACTTATTGATCTGAGACATGGTCCTTCACTGCTGGCCGTATGAAGACGCTCTGTCGATATATATTAATATGATATAATTTTACTAGATGGTTTGCAGCAACATTCTCTGTTTACCTCTATTTTTAAGTGCATAATAAACCTTATCTTAAATCAATATTTTATTTTAATAAATCAAACTTTTATTTTGTTAGCTTGACCTGTATGTATCTATGTGTGAACGAATGTAACGGAATTTTGTAATTCGATTTTCACCCACCCCATATGTCTGAATAAAATGAAATTTTGTTGAGAACCGGTGACAATAGTTTTATGACTGTATCATAAACCGCATATCATCACAACCCTTTATTAATGCGTATTGTTTATGTTTTCTTAGATTATTATTTCCTAGTATTTATACCACCTATATTTAAACGAATATATTTATTTTTTTTTTTATTTATATTTTCATGCACATATGACGGACTTAATGCCATAGGCCCTATGGCATAGGGCATTCTCTCCCAGTCAACCATTAAGGCTAAACAGAGATAGACATATAAGATACTGTACAGCAATAATCAAAATAGAAAGGGTTAAAAATAGGTATAAATATAAATATATACTCAAATACATACTTATAAATATTAACTACGTCAGAACAAATATGAAATACATATATATATGAAAATAAGAGCTGTGTTTGTTCAAACTTGCAACGATTTTTCCACATGCTTACGGACTTGATTTTTAAAAACAAACTTATTGGGAGCTTTTTTAATGTCATGAGGGATGTCGTTAGGCTATACGATATCGCTACTATAAGCTACTCAGCATTAGAAAATAACCATTCCATTTTTAGGCGTCGTCGTCGACCAACCCGTAGTGGTGCATAGTTCATATCGGTAAGTATCATAGATTGAAATCTCGAGCGTCACTCAATTGTTGGTTTTATGTTATCACGCTACCATACAGTGATCAAAAGTCCACATCATGAACTTGCAATTGCTCTCAATCCTCCAACATTAAACTGATTGTAAGGAAATTGATTTAATAACCTACTAACATCACCTCGCTGCGTGATTTGTTGGCTAGTCTATTTGCGGTCTCTAATTATTCACATGTATGGACGTTTCCAGACGTCTGTCAATTCTCTTGGTGTACTCTTACTTCTTATCAACCGACCTCAAAAAGGAGGAGGTACTGAATTCGACTGTAGATATGTTCTTTTTTTTCTTTTTTTATGTGTGTTACCTCATATCTTTTTTATGCGTAAACCGATTTCGATGATTCTTTTTTTATTTGAAAGCTGGTGCTTCTCATGTATTCCCATATAAATTTGATCAAGGTTTGACCAATAGTTTTTTAGTTATTCTTAATAATTTAT